TCCATTGCCCCAATCAGTTGGTGGTTGCAATTGCTGTGTTGGTTCTGTTTTTAGCCCCGACTTCCACAGGAACCAAACGGTGTTGCAGTCCAGCCTGATTATGTCCAGCACATACTTGGTCCTCGCATAAACAAGTGGGAGCTGTAGCCTAGTTGGGGTGACCCACAATAACTCCCACCAGGCCCACCCTCTACCCTGGTTTGCCAGTTTGTGCAGCAGTAGTCCAGTCTGTCCCACACCCCATTCCACCCCAACCCCTGTCCTGGTTATCGTTCCCTCCCATAGAAGTGGTAACCCGAGAAGGAGGAGCCCACTATTTCCCTCCCAGGCCTCTCCCACTCCCGGATTATGCACTCTCCAGGTGGTTCTGTGGTTTGACTTGACAGAATTAGACCCCAGTGCCAGTCTCTGCCAACTAATGCTGTGGCTAAGCCCAAACAACCCTCACCCACTCTAATTTTGTTTGTACCAGTAGGAATAATCAGCCCAGCCTGGCTTTTCCTTGATCTGTTCTAAATGAGGCGCACAGGTGTTGTAGCCCTTCCTAGTCTGGTCTGTCCCCATCCCAACTCATGCTCTCCAGTGGGAGTAACTGTGCAGCAAAGGAACCCTCCCCATATTCTCCCTGCTGGCTCTGCCCCCTTCCTTCCTTGTTCTCACACTTGCTGGTTGGGCGCTGCGGTCCCCCAACCTCACCTTGGCATTCCATATTGTGCACTAGTCTTTGTTGCAACTGACCTGGCTCGACCCACACTATTCTATTGCTTGGATTTGCCAGTGGATGACGTGGACAGATTCAGCCTGGTCTTGCCCCGATCCATGCCATATGCATGCCCATGGGAAACTTTCCATGGCCTGTTCTGGGCTGTTTCCTATCATGCTTCTTGTGCTTACCTGCCGGGTCTGTGTCCTGCCAGAGGAGTTGCCCAGGCTCCTCCATCAGAACCTCTCCCATTGCCAGATTTTGCACATACCAGTGGGTCCATGAGCCAGCCCTACTCAGTTCACCTCCTGTCCTAGCAGGAACAGTGGCTTTTCCTGACTGGCCTTCAACCCAAACTGGTTCTTGCTATTGGATGTTTCAGCCCAGCCATGGTTTGTCCATACCTACATATGGCTCACACATGGCTCGGTTGGGGTTTGAGACCTTGCCTAGTCCATCCAGGACACCAGACGGTGTTGGAGTCTGGCCCAGCTAGGTACATCCAGTCCCAGTCCACACTTGTGCCAAGGGAGACTACAGCCTTTTCCACATCAGAATGTAGCCCCCATTCCAGGCCATGCACCCCTTGGTGGGAACCTCAACCCAGCTAGGGTTGTCCCCTTAGCTCCCTGACTGGACCTGTTCCCAGCCATAGATCAGGCACATGCCAGTGGTTGCTCTGACTCAGCTTGGCACAGCCCCTCACCTGTCCCGGCCTCTGCCTTAGACACTGTGGCTTAGCATCCCTGGCTCACACATTACAGTAGGTGCAAGAGCCCAGCTCAGCATAACCAGTGCTCTGTCCTGGTCTCTAGTTTCGCTTGTGGGCTAAGGTTTGCTCAGTCCTGCCTGATCTACCCTGTTCCCTTACCAATTAACACATTAGCCAGCTGTTGGAGCTACATTTCCCAGCTTATCCAACCCCCAGGTCTGGACCACATGTTCACCAGTGGGAGCTATGGTTCGCCAAGGGAGTTTCCCAAGTTCCTCCACTTAATCCACTCCTAGACCCAGTTCTCATACATGCCATTGGGTTGAGGCCAGTGCCTGGTGCAGTCTGGCCTTCCATTTGGCCTTGTATGAGCTGGTGAACATTGTAGCCCGGCCCACCCCACACCCTATTCAGGATGCACAGTCGGGTGTTGCTACCTTGACCTGTCCAGACTGTTGGGGGTTCCTTTACCTGTGATTGATGGCAGGCTCGTGGGTCACACCTAGCTTAGTCCATCACCACCCCAACTCTTGAGATAACCAGTGGGGCTAGAATTTCCACATGGTTTGGCCCACATATCCCCCACAGAATCTACCCCCCTGATATGGTTCTCAAGTGCTAGTTAATGTAATGGCCCTGCTTAATGTGACTCTTCTCCTGATCCATCATCATGTCAAGTAACATGAAATAATTCTGATGGACAAACCCCGAGTCTTAGCTTTTGCATGGACTGGTATTTGGTGGTCAGCATTGTTCAGTGATTACAAGTTTTACAAAGGAAGAGTTATTGCCAATGGGAATCTTTACAAATGCTTCAGGTCCTCAAAGCACAGTGGGTTCAACCTGGAGCTACCTCAGCAGCGACTCAAAGAACTGAAACCGTAGAGCTCTTTGGCTGGGTGGCCAGCCGGCAGAGCCTGACACCAAATGGTGCACTGGCTACCTAGTGACAGCTCATCACATGCACATGGTGGCTGGAGTCTGGGATCCAGGCATGAGACGCCCTGGCCTGAGACCCACCAGCAGCTGGGATGCTGCTGGAAGTTTAAACTCCCAGGCCCAAGGTTGCGCCCCTCCCTAATCCCATTCACTGCCCAATGAAGGTGGCAGGTGGGTCCTGGACCTGCCCAGTCACGAAGACCTCCCCCTGGGTGTACTTACCCCAAAGGGAGCAGTCCCTGACACCCAGGCATGCCCGGGGACAGTTCACCACATGCACGGGGTGGCTGGCATCAGGGATCCAAGCATGAGATGCCCTGTCCTGAGACCCAACAGCAGCCGGGAGGCTGCTGAAGTTTCATTTTATCACTATTTTTAAAGATTTACTTAATATGTAGTTAGAGGAGGGACAGAACAAGCTCTTCCATCTGCTGATTCAACCCCTCCCCCACTCCCTCCACACATGCAATGGTCCAGATTGGGACAGGCTGAATCCAGGAACCTGGGACACCATTCAGATCTGCCACTTGGATGCCAGGGGTCCAGTGTTTGGTCCATTGTAGGAGGACATTGTGACCCTAGAAGGCAGCAAGCAAGGATTACAGTTGATTGGATAATATTTGCATGAGAACAACTGAATGACTACCTTTTGTATATCTGACTGGATATCATTTGTATAAGAACAGTTGAATGGACAGCATGTATTTGAGAATAATGCAAAAGGAGTTTCAAACAAAAACATAGAAACTGTTACTGGGTTTTGTTGATGAGCTCAATACTTCCTCCCTTATCCTATATGACCCTCAGTGTTTAAAGTCTCATGCCACTAATAATCTTCAGCTTTGACCATTAGTCAGGTCGGCTCCGTGCACCAAGTCCATCGCTGCAGGACAGCGATAGTCCATCTTCTGCTGCTCTCTCCTGTGCATTATCAGGAAGATGGATGGTGAGTAGAGCAGCTGGAACTCTCAGCAGCAGTTTTATGTGATGCTGGGCTTGTGGCATATTAGTTTAAGCTACAACCTGCAACTCACATGAGAGCTCTGGCAACTTTCCTCAAAAGGCACAGGCAGGGCCTGGTATGACAGCGTAGCCTTGAACTTGCCGGAATCCCATATGGTTGCTGGTTCTAATCCCAGCAGCCCTGCTTCCCATTCAGCTCCCTGATTGTGGCCTGGGAAAGCAGTCAAGGCTGGCCCAAGGCGTTGGGATCCTGCACCTGTGTGGGAGACCTGGAAGAAGCTCCGGGCTCTTGGGGATTGAATCATTGGACGGAAGATCTTCCTCTCTGTCTCTCCTTCTCTGTGTATATAAATAAAATAAATACATCTTTAAAAAAAAAAAGTCCCAGGCAGCTGAGTCCCTGAATCACAGCCAAGCTGCTTCCTACCAGAACTGAGTCTACATATAAACGCTTCCACATCAAAGCAGCTGCCTTCCCAGGTACACTGGCAGGGAGCTGGATTGGAACTGGAGTACATGGTAGCTTAGCTCAATAACTATGGAGTGAGTCACTTGATTTCAAACCTTAGGTCTGTCAAAACATTGACTGGAGTTGGCACTGTGGTTTAACAAGATATGCTACCTTCTGTAGCGCCAGCATCCCATCCCACACCTCAGGACAACTCCCCTTCATTTTTAGAGCTTTGTTTATACCTTCTCAGGGGCTCACCTGACCACTTTGTATAAATCAGTACCCATCATATTCCTCCCTCTCCTACCTTGCTTTATTTTTATTCCGCAGGACGTCTAACATTGCATTGAATGACTCACTGGTTTCTTAGCCTTTCTAGGATAAAAGCTCAGTGACGCAGACTTTTGCTCACTTCTCCAGCACCAAGACGGCAATCTTATTGGTGTCTACACACTATTCCCTGGCTTCTGCTGGCTACCGTATTTCACAATTTATAGGAAAAACAGGGATCTGAGAACAGAGAGAAAAGTGAAGTCTGGTTCTTCAGACTGATTCCCGACATGAATGAATCAAGGCAAAATTGCCCGACTTGGCTGACCTGAGAGAAATCTAAACAGCAATTTACGTGTTGGCCATGCAGGAAACAACCCAGCGTGAACCCTGGCTGTTAGCTAGCTGGTTCAGGACACGACCTTGTGTTGTCCTCGCCTCAACGCAGCGTGGTAAGCTGGGGAAATACTCCATCAGTCATGAGGGGGCAGCACTTGACGCCCAGCATTCGCCAGCCAGTCCCGACGGCGCGCCAGGCCCGGCCCTCCGCGCCTGTGGAGAGTTACATAATTCACACTCACAGTCGCCGCCTTCTTCCAGCTCTGGAGTGGAACTCACGTGCCAGGGCTCGCGACCGGAAGCCGACACCCCGACAACGGCAGCTGTCGGCAAATCCGGGGACAAGCCGGAGCGCGGAAGGCGGGCGAGGCGGCGCTATGGCTGCCACGAGACATGCGCGAGAACGCGCGTGGAGAACGGGGGCGTGCCCTGGCGGCCCTACGCCCCCTCTGATTGGCCAGGAGCACGAAGAGCGCGTTCACGCTCCGCCCTAAGGCCTTGGAAGCGAACGTCAGCTTTGCGCCATCACGGAGGGAAAGGGGGCGTGGCTGACTGCTCAGACGGCCCCCCGATTGGTTGGCAGTCGCCGGAGCCGGCCGCACGTCCCGGCCCGGGGGCGGGGCCGCGGGGCTGATCGGAGAGGAGGCCACCGGCTTCCGTGAGATGACCATGGCAGCCCGGGCCGGTCCTCGGGCCTTGACCACCGTAGTCTCGGGATGCCGTCCGAAGTCGGTGACGGCGCCTGGCGCTTTGACTCCGGCTCAGGGACCTGCGCGGAACGTCAGGTAATCAGGCGCAGGGGCCTGTTGTGTGAGAGAACCCGGGGGATCGGGCCGCGGCCGAGCTGGACCAGGTGCCTTGCCGCGCGTCTCCGGCTTTGGGCGCCGGAGGGACTCTGCGGCCGCGCCCTCAGGGGCCCGAGGGGCGTGGGGCTTGCTGTCCTTGCGAGAGGCGGTGACTCATTGGCAGAGCGACTTTGGAAGCAGCTGCGGAAGTCGCTCGCCCCGGGCGCCTTGGAGCTTTGCCGGTTTCCGCAACAGAGGGCCGGGTTTGCCCGGAGGGGGACCCCTGGCTCCGAGCCGCTGCACCAGCGTGCCGGCCGGTCGCAGGTCCTTCCCGGGATCTGGTAGGGGCCCTCGTCCCCCGCCCCGTGGTGCTAGCCAAGAGCGCAGCCACCTGACAGGACCCGGAGTTTCTGGCTGGGCGGTGAGCGCCCTGTAACCTTGAACCGGAGCCTGCCTTCGATTTTCCTGGTTGATTCTTTTTTGATGGTGGTGATGTGTGTGTGGGGAGGGGTGTTGGAGAATGGGAGGCAAAGGAATGAAAAATACCATTCTTTCACTTGATTTTCTTTTTAAATAACTTTGTAGTAAGTGATTAAGATTAAACTTTAAAGTGAAAGGTTTGGACGGGGCAGGGCAGAAAGAGCGAAGCTTGACATTTAGAGTCAGTGAAGACTTTTTTAAGTACCAACAATCCTGTCAGTTCCAAACCGTTTGACCAATATGGGATGAAGCTAAAGTAAAGTCATATATTCTTTACTAAATAACCTCCAAAAAAAAATAGATCCAAGCAGAACATAATGCGGCCTGATATTCTTCTAGAATAATTGGCTTGTACACGATGCAGGTGTCATCTTTATAATGCTTGTACTTGTTCTAATCACCATACTGTCTCCTTAGTAGCTAGGGTACACAGAATAACTCAGCAAGTCTGTGGGCTAACATGAAAAGCAGTATAAAAAGGTTATGCTATAGCCTTTTAAGAGAAAGAGTAGGAATATTTACGTGAATAAGAGTGTGTAAGGGGTTGAACCTGTAGCCTCAGACAACAATATTCTTTGGGGCACTGGTTTATGTTGAGGCCGCTCCACTGCTGATCCAGCTCTGTGCTAATGGCCCAGGAAAAGCAGCGGAAGCTGAGCAAACTGCGTGGGTCCCTGCACCCGTGTGGGAGACTTGAGTGACGCTCCTGGCTCTTGGCTTTGTCCTGGTCATCGCAGCCATCTGGAGAGTGAACCAGAAGGTGGAAGATCTGTCTTTTTCTCTAAAACTCTTTCGAGTAAGATAAATGTATATATTCTTTTATATTCGACACATACACATAGAAATGTCGCAGGTAGTTGACTATGAGTGTGTGTTGAAGTGGAGATGGGACGGGACGGGAGGACAGAGCAGCCATTCTGGCGGGGTCTGCAGAGCTCTGATTAGTGTCCAGTTCCACTGGAGTGAATCCAGAATGGAGGAACCCCTGTAGCTCCGGCTGGCATAATAACCTGAGTAGATAAGAAGAACTGAAAAGCAGATCAAGAGGGGCAGTTGCCATGGCACAGTGAGTTAACCTTCCGTTTGTGATGCCAGCATCTTGTATTAAAGCATCCGTTTGAGACCCACCTCTTCTACATGTGTTTGTTGTAATGTACCTTGAAGGCAGTAGCTCAAATCCTTGGGCTTCTGCCACCCAAGTGAAGACCTGGATGGAGCTCCTGTTTCTGGCCTCAGCCTGGCCCAGCCCTGGTCTTGGTGGCCTTTTGGGGAATGAACCAACAGTGGGCGTAAGATTCTCTGTCTCTCCTCCTCTCTCTGTAACTCTGCCTTTTAAGTTAAATAAATAAATTTCAAAAAGAAATGATGGAGGCCTAACACAGTAGCCTCGTAGCTAAAGTCCTTACCTTGCGTGTACCAGGATCCCATACAGGCACTGGTTTATATTCTGACTGCTGCACTTCCCAAGCAGCTCCCCGCTAGTGGCCTGTAAAAGCATTCAAGGATGGCCCAAAGCCTTAGGACCCTACAGCTGCATGGGAGACCTGGAAGAGGCTCCAGGCTCCTGGCTTCGGATCGGCTTAGCTCAGCTCCAGGTGTTGACAGCCACTTGGTGCCGGAGTCTAGTTCCAGCCGAGTTCGGAGCTCTGGAAGGGTGCGTGGAGTCGGCGATAAAGAAAGGCAGACACTGACACTTGGTGCGTTCTCACAACAGCTCAAGAAAAAGCTGTCCTTTTTATTTACTCAAAACCCCTCTCAAGCTTCTGCACAAGCAACTATGCTATTTTTACTTCAAGACTAAGGGGGTCACTCTGTTTGCACTTCAAGTCTAAGCAGATGCCCCTAAAGATAATTCTGCAAAATACTGTATTCATATTCTTCAAAGCAAGCCATTATTTATTTTTCAACAGTAGCCATGGAGCAACAGCCAGGACTCTAAGGCCAAGACACATGCGATTACCTGCTAATTAGTAGTACATTCCCACCACATTTCTATTTCTACAATTTACCCATTATTTAATGGAAAAATAGGTTACAAGGGAAAAAACGTAAAACCTAAAACAGAAATTTCAAACATAAAGTCCTTCTACAACTTTAAGCTCTACAACCCCAAAAACAATGAAACAATAATCAAAAGCATTTTTCTTTAATAAAAGCATCCTTAATTCCTCTAGCTAAAATTATAAAAGCAGCTAAAACAATTACATTTTCTATATTCCAAAAAATTGCAGAAACAGGCTAGCCTTTGAGATAACAATAACTATATTTATTGCCATAGCAGTTTCAGCCCTCACTCCCATCACTTCCATTACTTTGTAAAATTCTTATTAAACCATTTCCCAGAAGGCACGCTACATGTCCGGGCCCGATTTCAGAGCAATGGGTAGGTACACAATAAGGTGTCCAGAAATGGCATGGGTTTAATTGTATTCCTGTGCGCAGTTAAAGGTCCACTCACCAAGACATTATCAATAACATTAACTCAAGCTCACGTTGGTGGCAAAAGCCATCTCACAGGGGCAAACAATGCCTCAATAGATTACAGAATTCTTAGTGGGGTGGTTGAGTGTCCATGCAAAAAGGAGGTGAGACTGCATAAAGGTGGTCAGAGAGAAATCCACCGGACTCTGCCAAACAGCTGGAAGCTCCCTGGGCCCTGCCAAGCAGGGGAGATGTTCTCTTCACACCTTTGTGCCATCCACACCTACTGCACGGACTCAGCAATTTGGGGAGTGAACCAATGGATGGAGGGTCTTTCTTTCTGTCTCTCGTTCTCTCTGTAAATCTGCCTTTCTAATAAAAATAAATAAATCTTTAAAAAAAATGGAACGATGGCTATGTTTTAGCACAGTTATGGTATAGCATGTTATAATATGTGTCTGTAGCATGAGGGCCAGCTTTCTGGGGGAAGCCACACCTTTTGGGTCAGAGCTGTAAATGTTACTGATTTCTGTATGGTGCCTAAGGAAGCTTCATTTTTCCTTTGTGCTTGTATATATATATATTTCCCCCCAAATCTTCTAAAATGGTAGATTCTTCTAAATTGGTTAGCTGTTTAACAGTCTCGGTAATAAATGTTTCCTCTTAATGTGTAATCCACCTCTAAATCAGGTCATTTCTGTTGTCTTAGACACCTGGCTTCCTGTGGTATACTGATGAGCAGATCTCTTGCATCGCGTACCTCCAGGCTGCCTAAGGAGATACATGCAAGAACTTTCTTCAAAATTACTGCACCATTAATAAACAAAAGGAAAGAATACTCAGAGCGAAGGATTATAGGGTTTGTATATAATGATTATACTAAAATATGTTCACAGATTTCAATAGAGTATCATGCCTCTCTCTGGCTTTTCTTGTTAGATTAAGCTCTGGTTTTTCTAGGTTGGCCATTCTGTAGACCTCACAATTTTGTAAGTATTTGTTGAATAAATTTAATTATACAGTTAACTTTACAGGATAGATTTAAACCTTGACATGTAAAACAATTGCTTGTTTATGATGATGTTCCTGTACCTTGCGCTTTTCTGTAATGGCAAGGCTGTTGCTACATTGGGTCATGTGTTCACAGAGAAATGCATAGATGAGTGCATGCAGACATGCTAAAAGGCTTCTAATCTAGAATAAGAAATAGAAAACTGCCTGCAAAGATCCAGACAGCAAGCAGGTGAGGCCTGGTGGGTTTTAGGCCTGACTCTGAGGCTGGCCTGTGACATTGCGGGATAAGCCGCTGCATGGAGAACTGACATTCCCAATGAGCACCAGTGTGAGTCCTGGATGGCCCAAGTGCTGGGGTCCCTGCCACCCACGTGGCAGATCCAGACAGAGTTCCAGGCTCCTGGATTTGACCTGGCCAACCCTGACTGTTGCTGCCATTCTGGGAATAAACCAGCAGAAGGGAAATCTCTCTGTCCCTCTCGCTGTAACTTTGACTTTCAAAAAAAAAAAGGAAGAAGTCTTTAAAAAACCAAACTCAGAGCTGTCATTATGTCATTGGAGCCCAAAGGCAGATATGAATAATTAAACATGGCTGTGACTGGAGCTGGTATGGTAGGTAGTGGCTAAATCCTTGCCTTGCATGCACTGGGATCCCATATGGCTGCCAGTTCATATCCTGACTGCTCCACTTCCCATCCAGCTCCCTGCTTGTGGCCTGGGAAAGCAGTTAAGGATGGCCCAAAGCCTTGGGACCGTGCACCCTTTTGTACCCTAATCAACTAAGTAAGATTATTATTATTAATAATAATAAAAAAACTACTCTTGGGACACCTGTATCCCATATCAGAACCTGGTACAAGTCCCAGTACCAATTTCAATTCCAGCGGTTTGCTGACTCGCATGCTGTGAGACAGCAGATGGTGGCTCACGAAGTTGGATCCTAGTTGTCTAAATGGGCAACTGGAATAGAGTTTCCAGCTTCTGGCTTCCGCCTGGTCCAGCACCAGCAGTTAGGGCCGTTTGGGGTAGGAGCCAGTGAATGAAATGTAAGATTTGTGTGTGTGTCTCCTTCTTACACTGCCTTTCCAGTAAGTAAATAGATAAAAAATTGCTGCTTTTATTTCTCTCATGGCCAAAATCCTGTTTATTTCAAATTGATCAACTTCTAAAACAAATATGCAACGGCCGGTGCTACACCATTCCAAAGCCAGGAGCCAGGAACCTCCTCCAGGTCTCCCATGTGGGTGCAGGGTCCCAAGGCTTTGGGCCATCCTTGATTGCTTTCCCAGGCCACAAGCAGGGAGCTGGATGGGAAGTGGAGCTGCCGGGATTAGAACTGGCACCCATATGGGATCCTGGGTGAGCGTTCAAGGTGAGGACGTTAGCCACTAGGCCACCGTTCTGAGCCCCATACTGACTTTCAAGAGCTAATGGGTTCTTTAGCCTAACAGTATCTTCAGGTTGCTTGGTACTCCCTGCAACATTGTTTCTTGACCCCTGCTCAGCCCTGGGCTGGGCTACTTCTGAGCTCTTGTGAACCATTTCCCATATCTGTTATTGTTAAAAACCAATACATGCTAGCACTGTTTAAAAAAAAAAAAGAAAAGAGCCTGGCACAGTGGCCTAGCAGCTAAAGTCCTCGCCTTGAACGCCCAGGATCCCATATGGATGCTGGTTCTAATCCCGGCAGCTCCACTTTCCATCCAGCTCCCTGCTTGTGGCCTGGGAATGCAGTCGAGGACGGCCCAAGGCCTTGGGACCCTGCAGCTGTGTGAGAGACCTGGAAGACGTACCTGGCTCTTGGCTTTCAGAGAGGCATAGCACCAGCTGTTGTGCTCACTTGGGGAGTGAAGCATCGGTTGGACGATCTTTCTCTCTGTCTCTCCTCCTTTTTGTATATCTGACTTTGCAATAAAAATAAAATAAATCTTTAAAAAAATTGGTCAACTTATTTTCCTTCTAATTATAATAATTAAATGTTTATTGAGGGACTGAGCTTCTGCTTCCAGTGCCAGCATCCAGTATGGGCACTGGTCTGAGACCAGAGGCTCAGCTTCTGATCCAGCTCCCTGCTAATGGCCTTGGAAGGCAGTGGAGGAAGGCCCAAATTCCAGGATCTTTGCACTAATGGTGGAAACCCAGACGTCACTCCCAGTTCCTAGATTGGCCCAGCTCCAGCTGTTATGGCCCTTTGGGGAGTGAACCAGCAGATAGATGATCTCTGCCTATTCTTGTTCCAATTTTAGCCTGAAGCAAGCACTTTCCTTCTCTCTCTATTACTCTGCTGTCAGAGAAGAAAGGAAAAGATAAATTTATTCAGTCTAAGGCACAGTGACAGAGAAGATAGAGACCAAGAAATATCTTTTATCTAGTTTATTTCCCAAATGCCTGCAACAGTCAGGGATGGGACTGGTCAAAGCCAAGAAGCCAAAACTCCACCCAGGTCTCCCATGTGGTGGCAGAGATCCAAGCTCTTGAGCCATTTTCTTGTACCTTCCTTTGGACATTAGCAGGGTGCTGGATTGAAAGTGGAGCAACTGGGGCACGGCAGTGTGGCCTAGCGGCTAAAGTCCTTGCCTTGAACACGCCGGGATCCCACATAGGCGCCGGTTCTAACCCTGGCAGCTCCACTTCCCATCCAGCTCCCTGCTTGTGGCCTGGGAAAGCAATCAAGGATGGCCCAAAGCCCTGGGACTCTGCAAACCTGTGGGAGACCTGGGAGAAATTCCTGGATCCTGTCTTTGGATCGTCATAGCATCGGCCGTTGCGCTCACTTGGGGAGTGAATCATCGGATGGAAGATTTTCCTCTCTATCTCTCCTCCTCTCTGTATATCTGACTTTCCAATAAATAAGTAAATCTTTTAAAAAATGTTTTGAAAGTCCTCACCTTGAACGCGCTGGGATCCTGGCTTCGGATTGGCTCAGCTCCAGCCGTTGCAGCACTTGGGGAGTGAATCATCGGACGAAAGATCTTGCTCTCTGTCTCTCCTCCTTTTTTTAGATCTGCCTTTCAATAAAAATAAATAAATATTTAAAAAAGAAGAAGAAGAAGAAGAAAGTGAGCAACTAACACTCAAACCAGCACTGTGCTGTGGGATCCGTGAAGCAGTGTCTTAATGAATTGCTTCACAATGTAAACCAGTTCTTTTTTTTTTTTTTTTAAGATTTATTTATTTTTATTGCTAAGTAAGATACACAGAGAGGAGGAGAGACAGAGAGCAAGAACTTCCGTTCAGTGGTTCCCCAAGCAGCCGCAACTGCTGGAGGTGAGCCAATCTGAAGCCAGGAGCTTCTTTCAGGTCTCTCAACCTGAGTGCAGGGTCCCAAGTGTTTTGGGCCATCCTCAATTGCATTCCCAGGCCACAAGCAGGGAGCTGGATGGGAAGTGGAGCTGCCGGGATTAGAACTGGCGCCCATATGGGATCCCGGCTCATTCAAGGCGAGGACTTTAGCCGCTACACTATTGTCCCAGGCTTGTATGTAAGCCAGTTCTAATGAAGACATAAGGACTTGTTCTAACAGGATCTTTCTCTTAAATTTTTAAGAACTGGCAACTAATTAAAATTTTGTAACCTGTGTGCAAACCAAAACCAACCCATGATTTTGTCAAATCTTAACCTCTATATAGATATATATTTAGAACCCTTTTATTTTTATTCTCTTTGTTATATGGAGGTTAATTTTCCTTGGTTGTAGTTTAATATGTGTGTGAAATGACTTATTGCCTCATGAACAATATACTTTATCCATTTTATCTTTTGTTGTTATTGTTGTATCCATTTTCAATTTAAAGCGTGTATATACACACCATATAAGCAGTGCAGTTAACCCTCTGTCCTTCTGTCTTTTATAAGTTATTCAATGCAGGAAATGTATGATGTGGTATCAGGAATGGAAGATTACAAACATTTTGTTCCTTGGTGCAAAAAGTCGGATGTAATATCAAGGAGATCTGGATATTGTAAAACACGATTAGAAATCGGATTTCCACCTGTGCTGGAACGTTATACATCAGTTGTGACCTTGGTGAAACCACATTTGGTGAAGGTGGTAGATTTTTTGTTTTTTTTTTTTAAGTATTCCAAAAATGCTAATTATATCAGGCAGATTGAAATGTAGCCACAATAAAAATATTTCACTAATGGGGATTGGGGGGAATTGGTCATGTGTTATATCTCCTAGTTGTGTTCATTTCATAAACTGATACCATTATTTTCAACTAGGAACTTAAATGGAATATGGAAAGGGGAGGCTTTTTAAAATAAATTTTTTATTAATGAGGTTACTTGCTTAAATTTTATTCTTCTTAATATAGCATTGCATCTTTTTTTAAGATTTATTTTAATATTTTTTTCATTACAAAGTCAGAATTACAGAGAGGAAGAGAGACAGAGAGGAAGATCTTCCATCTGATAATTCACTCCCTAGAAGCCCTAACAGCTGGAGCTGCGCATTGAGCCGAAGCCAGGAACCAGGAGCCTCTACCAGGTCTACCACCCGGGTACAGGGTCCCAAGGCTTTGGGCCGTCCTCAACTACTTTCCCAGGCCACAGCAGGGAGCTGGATGGGAAGCAGGGCTGCCATGATTAAAACCAGTACCCATATGGGGTCCCAGAGTATGTAAGGCGAGGAGTTCAGCTGCTGAGGTATTGCGCCTGGCTCCAGCATTGCATCTTATTGAAGTGCTTTGTCACTTAGTGGCCATAACATGTTTCTAAAGAAGGCCTGGTGTGATGGCTCAGTGGCTAAATCTTTGCCCTGCACATGCTGGTATTCAAAATTGGCACCTGTTTGTGTCCCAGCTATTCCACTTCCCATGAAGCTCCCTGCTTGTAGCCTGGGAAGGCACTAGAAGACAGCCCAAGGCCTTCAGACCCTGCACCCACATGGGAAACCTGGAAGAAACTCTTAACTCCTGGCTTTTGGTCGGCTCAGCTTTGGCTGTTGTGGCCAGTTGGGGAGTGAAATAGCAGATGGAAGATCTTTCTCTGTCTCTGCTTCTCTGTATAATTTTGCCTTTCCAATAAAAAATAAATAGATCTTAAAAAAAAAGATTCCCACACGGGTGCAACAAATTCTAATAACTAAGATTTCAATGCCTACCTGAGGAGGTTATAGAAGTTCAGAAGCATTTTTAAATGGGAGCTGAATCGTGAGCTGTTGCTGAGGGAAGGTGATGCGTAGCCCTGTGGTCAGCTGTAATAAGGCCTCGGTATTGTTTTTGGCTGAGAAGGTTAATCAGCTGAGTGTCATTCACTTTGGGTTATAACCAGTTCCAACAATGGGCTAGTAATTACAATCTGGCCACCAGTACTCATATTAAAGCTAGGTCTTAATCAAAATTATTTAAATTGTAAAGAATGAGAACTATCTATGTATGCTAAAGAGCCCCAAAAGAACTAGATCAGGGTCATACCTGGGGACCAGTAGCTTAGGAAAACTGGGGTGTCTGGGAATAAGGAAAAGAGTTAAGACTGATTAACAAGAGAAAAATCTTTGGACAGAACAGTAATTGAATTGTGTTAGGGATCTATACTAGTTCTCTTATAAACATTTTAGCCATCTCCTAGTGATAGTATAAAGTAGGTATTGTTTTACAGATTAAGGAAATATGGCATAGGGATTTAACTTTGCAGGGTCACTTATCAGTAGGCAGAGCTGGAAGTAAGTCTTCCTCCAAAATCACTCATTATTTTGGAGGGAAAGTGAAATCTAAGTAGCATAACAGGTGATAGTAGAAAAAAGTTGGTAGTCTTGGGGACCCCAGAAAAAAAAAAAAGAAAATGACCAATTCTGGCAAGTGGTTACTAAGTATCAGCTAAAAATTGGAGTTCCTCATCTCCTGTGGTATGACCTGTGGGAATAATTACAGAGATTTTAGCTACAGTCTTGGTAGATTCTGGCTAATAACAAAGATACTTATCCCACTGTTGTTTTCTCTTTTTGTTTTGTTCTAGGCATCTTGTACTGATGGGAGACTTTTTAATCATTTGGAGACTAGTTGGCGTTTCAGCCCAGGTCTTCCTGGGTATCCAAGAACTTGTACCTTGGACTTTTCAGTAAGTCTCACAAAGCCCATGATTGGTCTCACTCATTAGCAGTAGTTTGTAAAGAAGTGTAATAATCCATTGTAGAATCCAGATGTTATAATTTTCTCACATACATATTAGTTACTGAAACAGAAACAAAAAAGATTTATATTATTTGAAAAAGAGACACAGAGGCAAAGAGATAAAAAGAATCTTTATCTGTTGCAATGAACAGAATTAGGCTGATCCCAAGCCAGGAGCCAGGACCTTTTTCCATCTGCTAGTTCACTCCCCAAATGGCCACAACAGCCAGAGCTGAGCTAATCCCAGCCCAGGAGCCAGGAGCTTCTTTCAGATCTTCCACGCGAGTGCAGGGTCCCAAGAATTTAGGCCATGCAGGCCATAAGCAGGGAGGTGGATGGGAAGTGGAGCAGCTGGCACATGAATTGTTGCCCGTATGGGATGCCTGTGCTTATAGATGGAGAATTAACCAATTGAACCATGGTATCAGCCTCAATATTAGCATTTCAATTCACATTTTATTTGTTTTTACAATTTACTTATATTTTTTTTAATTAAAAAAAAAGTAAAGATTTATTTATTTTTATTGGAAAGGCAGTTATACAGATGATTCACTCTGTCCGATGATTCACTCCCCAAGTGAGCGGAACGGACAGTGCTACATCAATCTGAAGCCAGGATCCAGAAATCTCCTCCAAATCTCCCATGTGGGTGCAGGCTCCCAAGGCTTTGGGCCATACTCAACTGCTTTCCCAGGCTACAAGCAGGGAGCTGGATGGGAAGTGGGGCTGCCGAGATTAGAACCAGCACCCGCATGGGATCCTGGTGTGTTCAAGGTGAGGACGTTAGCCACTAGGCCACTGTGCTGGGCCCTTGTTTTTTTTTTTTTTTTTATTGGAAAGGCAGATATACAGAGAAAAGGAGATACAGAAAGATCGCAGTGGGCAGAGCTGAGCCAGTCTGAAGCCAGGAGCTTTTTCTGGGTCTCCCACCCAGATGCAAGATCCCAAGGCTTTGGGCCGTGCTTGACTGCTTTCCCAGACCACAAGTATGGAGCTGGATGGGAAGCAGAGCAGCCAGAGCATCTATGGGATCCCAGTGGATGTAAGGCAAAGATTTAGCCAATAGGCTACCACGCCAGGCCCTACTTAATTATTTGACAGGCAGTGTGACAGAGAAAGATGGGCGAAACAGAAAGATATGTTCCATCCACTGGTTGACTGCCAAATGCTGCAGTAACGGTCTGGGCCAGGCAAAGCCAGGAACTAAGAACTCCATGCAGGTCTCTGACATGAGTGGCAAGAGTCCAATTCCTTGGGCTCTTTTAGACACATTAGCAGGGAGGCATGCTGGAGACCAGCTCAGCTGAATTCAGAGCTCGAGAAGGGTGTGTTGATTCAACGGGAGAAAAGAGACACAGACACAGTCACTTGGTCCTTCTGTTAAACAGCTCAAGAAGCTGACTTTTTTATTTACTCAGACACATCACAGAGTTCTGTACAAACATTTATTCTATTTTTTTTTTTTTAAGATTTATTTTATTTTTATTGGAAAGGCAGATATACAGAGAGGAGGAGAGACAGAGAGGAAGATCTTCCGTCCGATGATTCACTCCCCAAGTGAGCGCAACGGGCCGATACTATGCCGATCCAAAGCCAGGAGACTCTTCCGGGTCTCCCACGCGGGTGCAGGGTCCCAAAGCCTTGGGCCGTCCTCCACTGCTTTTCCAGGCCACAGGCAGGGAACTGGAAGGGAAGCGGGGCTGCTGGGATTAGAACCGGCGCCCATATGGGATCCCGGGCGTGCAAGGCGAGGACTTTAGCCGCTAGGCCATGCTGCCAAGCCCCAGATATCTGCATATTATCTAGCAATAGTAACTGCCCCTATTAATTTCCCAATTTTGATAATGGCACAATAATTGTCTAAGATATTAGCGTGGAGAGTTCTGTGTGATAGGTACATGGGAATTATTTCTGTTGTTTTGTAATTTCTTTTTATAAAATCATACTGACTTTAGAATGAAAAGTTGGAATATTTTTATAGATGTTTGGTCCTTAAGATACTGTTCTCCCCTTTAAAGTTATCTGAGTTCCACCCAAAAAAGGGAATGTAAGGTTCCCAGTCATTGGCTGTTTTAAGTGTGTGCCATGCACATGTGCAGTCTGATCTTCCTCTCATTGGGGTTTAATCTGTGAGAATTATCACTTCCCTTCCCTAAACCCTTGTTTCTTTTTTTTTTTAAAGATTTATTTAATTTTATTGGAAAGGCAGATATACAGAGGGGAGGAGAGACAGAGAGAAAGATCTTTTGTCCAATGATTCATTCCCCAAGTGACTGCAACGGCTGGTGCTGCACCGATCCGAAGCCAGGAACCAGGAACTTCCTGCAGGTCTCCCAACACGGGTGCAAGGTCCCAAGGCTTTGGGTTGTCCTTGACTGCTTTCCCAGGCCACAAGCAGGGAGCTCAATGGGAAGTGGGGCTGCCGAGATTAGAACCAGTGCCCATATGGGATCCCAGCCTGTGCAAGGCAAGGAGTTTAGCTGCTGGGCTACTGCGCCAAGCCCAAGGTTCTTTGGATAGGTCAGAAAAAAAAAAGTCACGTAGATATATCTACAGTTCTCAATGTGAACGTTAGTGTCCTAAGTGGAAATTTAGTGAAAGGTCTTTTTATGCTTGACCTTAGCCAAAAGGCTGAGAAGCAATGTGAAAGGTCTTTCTAAAATCACTTCTTACATTCCTCTACAGATCTCTTTTGAATTTCGCTCACTCCTACACTCTCAACTTGCCACGTTGTTTTTTGATGAAGTTGTAAAGCAGATGGTTGCTGCCTTTGAAAGAAGAGCATGTAAGCTTTATGGTCCAGAAACGAACATACCTCGGGAACTAATGTTTCATGAAGTTCATCACACATGAAGGAGAGCTGGTGTCACGTGCTTGGATCTTTAACCTGGGGAGACGCCTTTGTGATTGGTTTCCAGACGTCAGAAAGCATTTAGTACACCTAACTTTGATTGTAACTTGCACGTAGAATATGACCCTACTTGTATATGGAATTATTTCTTCAATCATTATATAATTCAGAGTACTAAGTACATCAGCATATTCCACATTTAACTATGTTACTATTGCTAGAATGATGTATCTCTTCTAAGCAGAAACTGAATATGTAAATTTAATGAGTGAGTTGATATACTCAGTCATTATGTATATATTAACCATATCATGTTTAAGTTATTAAATTCAGATTATTTATAACTTATTATATGGAGCCTACCATATAGCTTAGGGGTTATCACCAAGAAAGTCAAAACTTGATTTTATAGGTACTGCTAATGGATTCTCCCTGGCACCTTTGGTATTTTTAAATTATTATTATGGATATAGAATATCATTTGGTGCTATAAGGAGGTTGGCTCCAAATATAACAGTGAAAAAAATTTGGAGGGGTTAGTGGCCCAGAGCTTTCAGCTGTTTTTCCAGTAGTCTGCAACCTTCTTCTGGGTACGTTGGTTGCTCTTTAGCTAATGCTAATGTAGAACAGTAAGCAACAGATGAAGAAAAGTTGGTTGATATTTTGCTGGCACTATGCATCCCTATTTTCTATTTATTGTATGTATTCACTTCCAATAATATATTTTCAAACTGGTATTTTTTAAAACAAATCAATGTAAGGACTGAAGTGTTCACCTAATAAAGTTAATTTGTTTATCTTTTGTAGTAACATTTATTGAAATCCTATATTCTGTGTGCATTCATTTTTAAATTCGTGAGAGGCAAAGAGAGGGCAAGTGTTCATTTGCTGGTTTCATTTGCTGACAAGAGGCCACAGGGAACTGGGAAACCCAGTGCAGGTGTCCTACAAGAGTGGCGGGAGCTGCTTCTCAGGCTCTGTATTAGCAGGAAGGTAGACTTGGGGAACCAGAGTCAAGTTCAAACCCGAGTCCTCTGATGGGAGTTTACAGATGTCATGACCAACATTTTAAAAGCTGAGATAAATGCTTGCCCTTCTATGTAGACATAGTGAGGTATTATGGTATTTGAGGATTTAAAACTACTTGTTAAAAGACCTTGATGGGAGCGTGATGTCTCTGTTTGCCCAGTATTTCAACTGGCTAATCTGACTGCAAGGGCCAGGATCCAATATGATACCCTGCACCCAGGTGGGAGACTGGGAAGTTCCTGGATCCTGGGTTTCAAAAACAGCAAAAGATGCCAGTGTTGTGGCACATCAGCTTAAGCTGTTGTATCTCACATGTGAGTGCTGGTTCAAGTCCTGGCTGTTCCACTTACAGGTCCCTGCTTAAGAAGGCAATGAAAGATGCTTCAGGTACTTGGTCCTCTGCCACTTGTGTGAGAGACTGGAATTTATTTTAATTTTTAAATTTTATTTTCAGTGATGTTTACATAGTTGATTAGGGTGGGAAGTGTCCAGAATCAGGGGAAATGGGTGAGACTTTTGTTTCCACATTTTCTTTTCCTTCTTCCTGCATCTGAGGGAAAGGGAGAGACAAGGGGAGAAGCCACACCTAGCCTCCCAGTCGCCTCAGTACCCGGAGATGGGGCATAGCCATCCAGTGTCATCCCAAAGTCCGCAATGTAAAGCATGCCTCAAGGTTCTGTTCAGGTGGTTTTGATAGTTCTGAAATGCTGTCAATCTTGCAGATGCAAGGATGTGCATATCCTTCCAAGGTCCTTTGGTTGACACAGTCCACCTGTGTCTCCATTTGCTCAGATATTTGCTGTCATGCTTCACTGGGGTGGTTGATCAGTCTGCTTTTCCCCCTCCTTCCTCTGCTTTGGTTCCAGGTACAGGTACCAGGTAGCAGGTACTGCTGCAGGCCAGAAGCAGGGAGCTGCATGGGAAGCAGGGCCCATATGGGATCTCAGCGTGTTCAAGGTGAGGACCTTAGCTGCTAGGCTACCAATGAGCTGGATGGAAAGCGGGGCCACCAGGATTAGTACCAGCACCCATAAGAGATCCCATTGTGTGCAAGGAGAGGACTTTAGCCACTGGACGACCATGCTGGACCCTCCAGCCCCATTTCTTTCTTCTTTTTGTTTTTTTAACCTTTTTTAAATTTATTATTATATTTTTGACAATCTTTACATAGTTAATTCGGGTAAAAAGGTTCAAGGGCTATAGGAAACTAGGTAAGACTATTATTTCCATATTGTTTACTTCATGTTTAAAGGGGGGTATCAAGGGAGAGGGCCCACCCAAGTTCCCACCCTCCCCAGGTCCTGCATGTAGGGTGGTATGCTCCGAGGTTCTTGCTCAAGTGGTTTTGATAGTTCACCAGCTATAAATTGCTGCCAATCTTGCCACACCAAGCGCTATGAGGTCCTTGAAGAATCCACTGATTGACATAGTCCATCATAGAGTCTCTGTTTTCCCAGTATTTCGCTACCAACATATAGCCGAGATGGTTGATTGACCTGTTCTGTCTTCTGTCTTTTCTTGGTTAGGGTTCTGAGTCCAGCATTTTGATTGGGGAGATCTCCAAAGAAACCTTGTCTCAGGTGTTCTCCGACCAGATTCTTGTATGTGCTAGCAAGTACAGGGCCCAGCTCAGTCCATGGCCCTGATCAGCTGGTGGTTGCAATTGCTGGGTTGATTATGTTTTCAGCCCCAACTTCCACTGGAACCAATGGGTGTTGCAGTCCAACCTGGTTCTGCCCAGCACATAAACAAGTGGGAACTGCAGCCTAGTTGGAGCGACCCACAATAACCCCCACCAGGCCCACCCCTATCCTGGTTTGCCAGTATGTGCAGCAGTAGTCCAGTCTGTCCCACACCCCATTCCACCCCAACCCCTGTCCTGGTTTTCGTTCCCTCCCATAGAAGTGGTAACCCAAGAAGGAGGAGCCCACTATTTCCCTCCCAGTCCTCTCCCACTCCTGGATTATGCACTCTCCAGGTAGTTCTGTGGTTTGACTTGACAGAACTAGTCCCCAGTGCCAACTTCTGCCAACTGATGCTGTCAGCCCCATTTCTTAAGCAAATGGGTGCTATGGGCCAGCCCAACCCTGATCTCAACACTGTGGGTCCTCATGTATACCATTGGGAGCTACAACCCAGTCAGACTGACCCCTAGTAACCTGCACTGGGCTGGTCTCCAGCCGTGGTTTATCTGCTAGCATGTGCAATGCACTGGTCCAGTCTGTCCCATCATTCATTCAGCTCTTGTACACATAGTTGGGCGTTGGAGCCTAATTCAACCAAACTGATTACACTCTCCAGCCCACACTCATGCCAGTGTCTGACACTGCCTATTCAGCCAGGCCTGCCCCAAGTCCAGGTTCTCAAGTTCATCAGTGGGAGTTGTAGCCCATCAAAGGGGTTACTGATTTCCCTGTTGGGCCCACTCCCAGCACAGGATCTTGCACTCTAGGTGGTTCTGCAGTTTAGCACTTGCAGCTCATGCTGCAGCAAAGCCCAACTGGCCTGCCCTTGTTTTTGGCTCATGCCTGCACCAGTGGATATTCCGCCCAGCCTAACTCTTCCCCGCAAGCTATTTGACATGCAGGACAACAGGTGTTACAGCCCTGCCCAGCCTGGTGTGCTCCCAGTCCCAGCTCTCACACTCACCAGCAGCAGTAGCACCCCACAGCTCCCTTTCTGAGGTTGCACCACCCACCCTCACCAAATCTTGTGTGCTGGTTCATGCAGCAGTCTAGTCTGCCATGGCCCATCTCAGCTTGGTGTTTGCAAGTGGGTGCTGTAGCCTGGCCTGAGAGACTGGAATTCTAAGGTCTTTAACTTTAGCCTCAGCTTGAGAAGCAAGCCAGTAATGGAAGATCTAAGACTGGTTTGCCAATATTTACAAACACTAAATATTTACCCACTTCTATTGGAACCTTTTCTCAGAGCTAGTATTGTAACACAGTATGCTAATGATCACTCTGTGTCACTAGCACCCGTTAGTGTCCCTAGTGACTCCACTTCTGAACCAGCTACTTGTGGTCTGCAAACACAGTGGAGGATGGGGCAAAGCCCACATGGAAGGGCAGGAAAAGCCCCTGAACACGTTCCCAGCTATGATCAGCAATGCTGGCCCTTTGGGGAGTGAACTAATGGATGGAAAAACCCCATCTCTTCTCTCTGTAAAACTCTCCCTTTCAATTATAACAATAAATTTTAAAGGTGAACATCTGCAGGAAAGCTAGAAGTGAAGCAGTTGGGGATAAAACCCAAGACACTCTGATGCGGGGGTATAGTTATTCCATTAGGTGTGCAAGGAGTGATGGGTTACCTTTTTATGTCAGGGCTCAATACACATTGTTCCCAAAGAATTCTTAAATTGTTGCCTTCTTTAAAAATCTACCACCCCTGCTCCCCAAGTAGCAATGTTCAGTTGCAACTAAGAGTAACAGTTGCTTTTTTTTTAACCTCTTGAGTTAGCTTTCACTTCTCGACCATAAAACAAACACCAATCACTAAGTTTAAACAAATTTTTATTACACAAAGGTTGTCACATAATTGTATATTTCTCTACTTTGTACACAATTATTCTCACTCCCCACAGAAAGGCTGCTTCTTCACTTCTCATCTGGTGATGGCAAGCACTAAAATCCTGATTTTAAACAGAATAGTAGTAAGAATGCCGCAGTGATTTAAGTTGAAAGCAGTACACTGGTACATGGCTCTTGCACTCAGTATCAGGAATGTACAAATGTCTTTTTTTTTCTTATTCAAAAATACAAAATAAATTATCTGTAGGCATGGACATGACAGCAGTAAACCATTATGTATTGTCAACTGAAACCAGTAACTGATGCTTACAGTGATTTTCTTTAGCCAGCCTTTTCTTCTTCTCCAACTGAACTCTGAAGTTCTTGATGAGGAACACTGCCTTCAGCTTCCTGTCACAGTTCATTTATAATGGTAAAGCACTAATCTAAGAATTAAAACATCCCTCCTCCCATCCCCCCTCCCATCCCGCCCATTGCACCCATTCCAGGGTCCTTCTCTTCTTTCGGAATTTCTGTGACCACAACTTCTGCTGTAGTTAACAGAGAGGCCACTCCAGCAGCATCCAGTAAGGCAGTTCTTACAACCTAGAAAAAAATGAAATGATGCATTTCATTCCATTAAGAAATATGGACAAGACACAAAAATTTTACATTTCTGAGTTACTCAAAAGTATTTTTAGGGAAATGTTCAACTATGTACCTTTGTTGGATCGATGATTCCTTTTTCTACCATATTCACAAAATCTCCAAGCAAGGCATCATAGCCAATTTCGGAGGAACTCTGCAAAATTTTTTCCACAATCAAAGATCCTTCAACGCCTGCATTCTTAGCAATAGTCATCGCCGGAATTTTGAGTGTTCTTCTAATAATGTCTATACCTGCAGAGAGAATACAGTAAAATTTTAGGTCTTTGGTAAACAATTTAACAATTCTAAATCATGAAGTTATCCGATACAGAAAAATCCCAATGCCAATGTTATCCAATCCCTGCGCCCAGAACAACCTAAGCACTATTCTACTTTGTTACACAGGAAACTGTGGTTTGTTGTTCCACACAGGAAATAGCAGTACAACTAAACACCAGGCATAATGTAGTTACCAATTTTTTGATCTTCATTAGCTGGAGTTAATGAGTCCAAGGCTGGAATGCACCGAAGCAGGGCACATCCACCTCCCAGAACAATGCCTTCTTCAACAGCAGCTCTTGTAGCATTCAGAGCATCTGTAACTCTGTCTTTCTTTTCATTTACTTCAACATCACTTGTCCCACCAACCTAAAGTTCCAAAAAATTCTAGTTAGTATGAAACCCTCCATTCAAGATGCAGACTACACAAAAAGTTACTTCAAGACTATCCAGTTTACTCAGAAAAGCAATCCTGCAGAAAAACTTACATGAAGGACCTTCTATCACATTAAAAAACATCTTTTCCCATAGCAACTTCCCTCACTACTAGTGTTTTAAAAAACAAGTGGTATGTCTCAGAAAAAATTTGCATAAATATTTCCATAACCTAATTAAGTTTCCCAATATTTAAGCTTCAAGTAGGAAATGCTGCAAAGCAATGAATCCTAACCTTCAGCACAGCAACTCCATCAGAAAGCTTTGCCAGCCTTTCATTCAGCTTTTCCTTTTCATATTCACTAGTTGTGACATCTAGTTGCTCGATGATTTCTTGAATACGCTTTTCAATTTGAGCCTTGTCACCCTTTCCTTTCAAAAGCATGGCATCATCTTTAGTCACAATGACCTCTCCAACTTTTCCCAAGTCATGAGGCTGAACATCTTCAAGATTCAGGGTCAATCCCTCTTCTCCAAATACCTGCAACATTTTAATGTGAATCAGTTATGTGTTAGTGTCTTCCATTACACCAAGCTTCTTAATGTATCACAGGTGTTTTTGACATTAAAATGCTGTATTTCTTAGAAATGAAGTTATTTAAAGATCGAAGCTAGCTCAGAACAAGATTAAACATTCACTGCATTCCCAACATCTCAGCCTTAACCAACTTCACCAGTTAGTAGTATATTTATTTCATAAACACTAAAGATCTCAATTATTGGAGGAAGACGACTGAAATTATCTAAATCCTATAGGGAACGCTTCACCATACTTTCCATAGATTTATTAAGAAAAGTTTATTCAAAGAGAATTTAATCAAAACCCCACCTCCCAAGTAAGCAACAAAAACAGAGTATCTAATTATAAAAAATCAATTGTAGACATGGAAATATTAAAGTATAACACTCAGTAAACAAACAGAAGACTTATTTTACTTACTGCACCACCAGTAGCAATAGCCATGTCTTTAAGCTGATTTTTTCTGTTGTCACCAAAACCTGGTGCTTTCACCGCTACAACCTGAAGACCAACTTTTAGCCTGTTAAGAACAGTTGTCGATGAGACTTAAATCAAATAAAACCAAGTAGTCTTAGTTCCCCTCAAGTTTTGATATCACTAAGACTGTTAAAACACCCCAACTCTTTTCTTTTAAGGCATGTGTATCTGAAAAGTCTTCCTAATAAACTGTTGGCAAATTCCAGTTCAATGTTGAACCCAGAAGCAAAGATCACACCACATGAAAGGACATATTAGTAAATATTTTATGACTGATGGGGAACAATTACAAATACTAAGATTGAATGTGAAGGTCAGGCAGTGAATACCTCTATGGTTTAAGTTTGAACAATGAACATCCCAATAGTGCTAGGGTCACCTGAATCTGCATGAGGTATACTTGAGATATGATCAAAGAAATGTTGAATTTGAGAGCTGTTTTATTTAAGATACAAACGACATAAAAAGCTATGATATGAGACAAAAAAAGAGGATAAGCTATGATACACTGAGTAAACTGGACAATGACTTTATAGCTACCGTAAAGCATGAAAATTCTAGCCCTAGATTTGGGATTTCTTGGGGGAGATGTCTTTACATCCTTATCTCCAAAGGTTTAATACCCCCAAAAAGCCAATTCAAGCTTAGAAAAGCACTCTTGAATAACATTTACATTTGTTTCTATTCCAAAGTATTATTTTTAATATACCTACATGCTAAGATTAAACCACCTACTACACCAAGGAATGAGAATTTTAGAATGGCAATTATTTCCTTACTGTTCCATGCAATATTAATCAGAAGCCTTTCTTTGGGGCTTGAATGGTGGCACAGCAGGTGCCGCCTATCACAAAGGCACTCCCTATCAGATCTGCTTCCAACCCAGCTCTGTTCTGCTCTACCAAGGAAAGCAAAGGAAAGCAAGGGAAGCCGGCCCAAGTGTCTGAGCCCCTGTCACAGTTGTTAGAATTCCAGATGGAGATTCAGGCTGCTGGCTTCAGCCTAGATCAGCCTTGGCTGTTGCAGCCATTTGGGAAATGACACTAGAAAACTGAAAATTCTGTCTCCCTCTATCTCTGCAACACTGTCTTTCAAATAAATACAATGAATCTTAATCATGCACATATCCTGCAAGCAACTGTAAACACTAAGAAAAACAAGAAAGGTGCCCACAACTGAATTCAGACTACTTCATGACAAAGTTGTACAAAACAGTAAAGACTCTGGGGTCCCACACAAAAATTGAAACAAGATGGAAACAACACATTTGTAGTAGGATGGTACTCCAAAAAGTAAATTTTATTTAAAAATAAAATTATCAAATACACTCCCTTGGGCCTGGCACGATAGTGTAGTGGTTGAAGTCCTCGTCTTGCAAGCCGGGATCCCATATGGGTGCCTGTTCTAATCCTGGCGGCCCTGCTTCCCATCCAGCTCCATGCCTGTGACCTGGGAAAGCAGTTGAGGACGGCCCAAAGCCTTGGGACCCTGCACCCACGTGGGAGACCCAGAAGAACTCCTGGCTCTGAATTGGCTCAGCTCCAGCAGCTGCAGTCACTTACGGAGTGAACCATCAGACGGAAAATTTTTCTCTCTGTATATCTGCCTTTCCAATAATAATAAATGTTTAAGAAAACAAAACAAAACAGAAAATACATTCCCTCTTACCTATTCAAAACCAGTGTACTCAGAGCTTCTCCATCAACATCTTCAGCAATTATGACCAGAGGCTTACGGTGGGCATTGGCAATTTCAAGAGCAGGTACAATGGACTGGACACTAGAAATTTTCTTTTCACTCAACAGAACATAGGCATCTTGGAATTCACATTTCTGACCTACAGAAAGTAAACAAACAAAATTCCAAAGCAAGAAGTGACCTTGTGGTATTCCATCTGTGTCACCAGTTTGTGCTAATGGCTTGGGAAAAACAATGAAGGATGGATGGATGGCCCAGGAACTTGGTCCCCTGCCACCCATGTAGGAACTCCAGATGAAGCTCCTGGCTCCAGCCTGGCCCAGTCCCAGCCATCATAGCCATTTGGGGAGTGAACTGGCAGATGGAAGACCTCAATTTCTTCTATTAAACATATACCTTTAGAAAACTTTTCAAATCAAAAGTAATCCAATTTATCTAAATAAAAAACTAAACTCAAGTTTCAGTATTATTTAAAATTGGCCAATGAGTTCATCTTTTCTTTCTTTCTCATGTATTATTAACTTCTGAAACACTCATTTTTCAGAGGTATACTGCCAACTTACATGTATAGCTTGATGTACACTAACTACATTTAAATTTTTTATTTATTGATTTGTCCTTACCTTTTGATGTATTAATAAAATATGGAGAAATATAGCCTCGGTCAAATTTCATGCCTTCAATAATTTCTAATTCATCATTCAGTGTTTTTCCATCCTATGAAAAATACACAAATTCGGTATATGAATTTCACAGAAGAAACTTCAAACTCGGAACAGAGCAGATTAACACAGAGTTGCCAGTGACCCTGAGGGAGTTCAGGCAGGAGTACGCAAATGTCCCGGGACATGTGATTTCACTTGCATCAACTGACACAAAAGCCAACTTCCTCTTACAGGCGCTGAAGTTATACATGAAGAAACGAAGTCCTCCTGAGCATTCTGTATGAACCAGGGAGACGGATTCTATTCGGAACGCTCAATTCTCATTATCAAACATACTTGCCTTTACTGTGATGACGCCTTTTCTTCCAACCTTCTTCATCGCATCGGAAATGATATTGCCAATCTCCTTGTCTCCATTTGCAGAAATTGTAGCAACCTGAAACAATCAAGTTACTCTTCAAAATTAGTGTCCTCAATTCCTGACCCTTCTCATAGTAACTTCCAAATTAATAATTCCATCTGGCAATACATTATGATGCAATAATTTTAAATGCTTCCAGTGTTGGTGACTGAACACTGCTGTTATTCAGACTGGTGTGAAAGAATACAAACATTTTTTTAAATTAGTCCTTACCTGAGCAATTTCTTCAGGGGTGGTCACAGGTTTTGACTGTTTCTTAAGCTCAGCAATTACGGCATCAACAGCCAACATCACACCTTGTTCAAGAATACATTAAGTCTGTTATTATAATAGTTATGGCATCCACACGATGCAGAAAATTTCAGATTAATAATCAACATTCTTAACCTTATGTCTGTACACAGCTTCTGCACCAGTGTCATTCCTACCCCAAGCTGGACGGCATGAAGCGAATGGTAACTTTAAATTTACGAGTTTTAGGGACTATGGGCCACAATTGTTTTCAGAACTAGAATTATAAAGGCGGACGTATGACTTCACACCTAATACCAACAAGAATTGTAAATCATAGGAATGGGAATTTCCTAAGGCTGTAGAAGAGACATAACATTCTTACCTCTCCTGATTTCCACTGGATTAGCACCTTTGCTAATCTTCTCAAAGCCTTCCTTGGCAATAGAGCGGGCCAGTACAGTAGCTGTGGTGGTGCCATCCCCAGCTTCTTCATTTGTATTATTGGCGACATCTTGAACAAGTTTAGCTCCAATATTTTTATATTTGTCTTTTAAGTCAATTGACTTGGCAACAGTTACACCATCTTTTGTTACTTTGGGACTCCCCCAGCTCTGTTCAATAATCACTGTTCTCCCCTACAATGGCAGAAGGAAAAAAGTGACATGATCTTACTTGCTAAACTATTTAGGTTTAAAACATGAGCAGGCTTCAAAATCTCAATGCAGGTTGTGTCATTTTATCACTCCTGCACAGGAATCTCAAGGACAAGTTCATCAACATTCACGGTCTACAAAATGATCTCTCTGCTTCTCTGCCAAGAGCATGACTTCGAATGAGGCATTACAGCAGATGAAAAATCCCAGGGCTTAAAAGCAACAAAGCATACAATGCAAGACAAACCACAAAATTCCAGAACACTGTTCACACTGGTTGGAACTCATTATTACTGAAAATACTCTAATTTGTTTACTAAAATACTCTACAGCAAAGCATGCTCCTCCAAATTCACATAGCATAAAACCGTAAGCCAGGGGTGAACGCTTGACACAGCAGGGATGCCTGCAGTTTCTAAGCTCCTGAGTCTTGCCTGACTTCCTGTTAAAGTGCACTCATGGGAGATCAGACCAAATTCCAGGCTCCCAGGCTTTGCAGCTGCTTTGAGTGTTGGGAGTATAAACTAGTAGAGGGAAGATCTAGTTCTGCCCTGCCTTTCAGAAGAAAATTCTTTAAAATGGGCCCAGTGGAAAAATCCCCACCTTACAAGAACAAGGATTCCATATGGGTACTGGTTCTGTCCTGGCTGTTCCAATTCCCACCCAATTCCTTAATTATAGCCTGGGAAGCCACAGAGCATGGCCCCAAAACCTTTGGGACCCTGCACCTATGTGGGAGACCAGGAAGAAGCCCCTAGCTCAATCAGCTCAGCTCAGCTCAGGCCACTGGGGCCACTTGGGGAATGAACTATTGGATGAACATCTCTCCTCTCTGGAAATCCGCCTCCTGAACAAAAATAAATGAATCTTTAAAAAATATATTCTTTAAAATGCGTTTACTTATTTGTAAGGCAACATAATAGAAAAATGGGGAGGATAGATCTTCTATTCAGTGTTGGTTCTTCCCTCAAATGGCTGAAACGGTCAGGTTTGGAACCAGGAATGCCATCCCAGACTCTCACATGGGCACTTGGGCCCAAGTCCTTGGGTCATCTGCCAGTCTTCCTTGGAACTTTAGCAGGGAGCTGGGTAGGAAGCAAAATTACAAGGATTTGACCCAGCAGTCAGATATGGGATGCAGCCACAACAAGCTACAGCTTAACATGCTGCCCCAGAATGGTAGCTCCACAAACAACATTTTATGGACCTCAAACATAACATATATGATGTATGCAACTTTTTGGGGCTTTGCACCAAAGCTGCCACCTTCTATATTCTTGAACTGTGCAAACGGGCTACACTTAACAGCTGTCTGGATATCTGTACAAGTCACTTCAAAATATTGTCTCATGATCGAATCATAGCTTAAAAATATGCATTTGAATACAAAGAACAGCAACACCTGGTAAATTTCCACCTATGGGGGTACACTGGATAGTTAAAAAAAAAAAGACATTCTGGAGATAGGTGGTGGTGATGTTTGCCCAATAACACTAGTGCACTTATTGTCACTAACTTGTATGCTAAAATATGGGAAAAATTAGGGCACAGCGTTGTTTCCTCCTGTCCCAGTTCTGGCTTTTAGCAGCATGAGATGTCACAAAACCTTTCAAAAACAAACAAAAAAAACCCACCACTTGAGATTTAATAGGACTTGCAACTTGTATTTCTTTCTATACTTGCCACCACTAGAAAGGGGCACAAGTGTGACTGGATCTATCTTCAGCTTAAACATTACCCTTAAACCGAGTTACTACCTGGTTACATCACACACTGTACAGTTTCCAAAACCCGAATGAAGCAGTCCAAGAACATTATGCCTAAACATATATATTATAGGGCTACATATAAAATCTATCAAAAAAATCATCAAAACACTGTGCCTCCCTCATCAGTAATAGTATTCCTCAATCAATAATACATAGTGACAATAATGCTGATACCTTTGGCCCCATTGTAACGGCTACGGCATCGGCTAAAAGGTCTACCCCTTGAAGCATTAAGGCTCGGGCGTCGGCACCGAATTTTACGTCTTTGGCATAAGCCCGAGTGAGATGAGGCGCCAGCGCCCTGGACACGGGCCTGATCTGGCGAAGGACTGAGGGTAATCGAAGCATTTCTGGAGGAGAAGAGAAGCAAACGATCAGTTCCCGCCTCGACCGTGCGGCCCGGCACAAACAAGCCCACCCGCGCCACCCCGAACCAGCAAGGTTAGCTGTGTGCCTGGCAGACCCGCGGGGCCCGCAACCGGCGCACGCAAGAGGCCGCCCCCTTGCCTGACCTATAGCACAAGGCACAGGCAATGGCTACCCCGTGGCCTCCTGCTCCAAAAAATCCGAGTTAATCTTTCACCGCTAAAATGGCCTACAGAGTAGAATCGCTCCCAACGTGCCCGTGCAAAAACCAACCCAAGGTGGGAAGGAGAGGCAGATTACAAATCCTAAGAGTCCAGGGAAATTTTCCGGACCGTGCAAAATCCACTCAGCAAAAAAAAAAGTGTCCAGTCGCAGCTACTGTATCAGAACAGGGCCCCGAGGCTGGGGGCACAGGCCCGACCCACTCCGGGAGCTCCACGTGTCTTGTCTGCAGGATGCCCCCGAGCAAGGTCAAGAGCACCGGGGCAGTACCCCTGCAGTCCGCCGGCCAAAAAGTGAAACAAAAAAGAGAATCAGTTCTTCGTGGATGAGACCCCCTTCAGCAGGGTACTGCACGAGGCCGGGAGCGGACTGCCCCCGAAGGCCCAGGCGCCCCAAGCCCCCCCAGGCCACCCCCGCTGGCCCGCAGGCAAGCCCTCCGTCCTGCGCCAGGCGCGGGCCGCAGTCCACGCCGCACGTGACGAGAAGCCGCATGGGCTCCGGAGGCCTGGACGGCCGGGCCCGCGTCCTGCGGCGCTCCGAGCCCTGCCGGTGGCCCAGGGCCCATCGCCGCGGCCGGAGGCCTGCTGCAGGGCGGCGGGAGGTGCGGGCGAGGCCGCGCCGGAGGGGGCCCGCGTGTACCTGCGGGGCGGCGGCGCGGAGTGCACGCGGCGAGGAAGGCCGTCGGCGGGAGAGTGAGGCGCAGGCTGCACGGCGCGCACGGCACTGAGCCCGAGTCCCCTCCCTCGGCGGCTCCCCCGCCCCGCGGCACCGCGTGTGCGTGCGGCGCCCGCCCCTTCCCGTCGCCCGGGGCCCGGCAATCTGCACGCGCCGGGTCCGCGCCGCACTCCTCCCGCCCTGCCGCGCTTAGGCTGATTCCCGGGCCCCGTTCGCTTCCAGAATTTTCCAGCCAGCGCCGCGCTCTCCGCGGTTCAAGGGTCACCTCCCGTCATTTCCGGGAGGGGTCGCGGGGGCGGGGTGGTGGAAGTGTTCTTTCACCTCGGCCGGCTGCCTAGAAAAGCCTAGAAAGAGCGCGGCTCCCATTCCGCCTTCCCGGCTCCCGCAGCCAGCGAATCGCGGCGCTCGCTGCGTGGGCCGCCCCCTCGGGCGGGGGCGGGAAGGGGGCGCGCGCCTGCGCACACGCCTGGCCTTTTCACGTGCCCCGCGAGGTCGGCCTGTGGGGCGTCTCTCTCCTTGCGGCGGCGCGCGAGCAGAGCGGGAGCTGCGGCCATGGTGAGTCCCGCGTGGGCCGGGGCGCGTTCCGCGGGGCTCGGGCGGATGGGCCTCTCCGTGGCCGGCGGTCCGCCTGGTGTCCCGCAGGGGCCAGGCCGCTGCGGCCCTCACACCCTGCCTTGCCCCGAGGGCTCTTGCACGCGCGTGTGCCGCGGGGACCGGAACCCACGCGTGGCGCTCCACATGTCTCGGCACGTAGGGCCCCTGTGGGTGCGGAGGGTCTTGGAGAAAGAGCGCAGCCCCGGCAGAGGAAAGATAAATCCTGACTTTTCCAGAAAATGCTTTGGGGGAGGAACATGACCTTGGCAAGGTTCAGGAAGGTTACCCTTAAACCTGGTCAGGTGACGGGAGGGGCGACAGCGACCCCCCAGAGCGAGCGCAAGGAACGGGAAATGAGGCTGGGTGCGTGGGGCGGGACTCAGATTGTGCCTTCTGCAGAGGGACAGCCCGAGTCTGCGGTCACTTTGGAAAGCTGCAATTGTGTTGAGATGAAATGCTTGCAGTAGTGTGTTGCCCGTTAAACGCTGCCTCTTCCCTGCAGGCGGGACAAGCATTTAGGAAGTTTCTGCCTCTCTTTGACCGGGTGCTGGTGGAAAGGAGTGCCGCGGAAACCGTCACCAAAGGAGGCATTATGCTCCCGGAGAAGTCTCAAGGGAAAGTGTTGCAGGCGACAGTAGTGGCTGTGGGATCGGGCTCTAAAGGAAAGGTAAAAGGCTACAAATGCAGCTTTTGGTGTCCTAAGGAATGGTGAATAAAAGTATTTTCAACATCATGACATTTCAAAATCCTGGTTCACTCCTGATTTAGCACTTTAAGCAAAAGGATTGCAAACATAAGTTTAGTTATTTTTCTTGTGTTGAAATGGCCCTTATTTACTTAGGAGCCTTGTAGGACCAGCGGTTTTCTTAAGATTCTGAATTTTTGATCAGGCAAGATAAACTACCAGAACTAAAATGCAAAAGGAAGTGGAGACTGTTGGGACACTTGCACGTGGTCCTAATCTTGTAACTTGGAGCCCTACACGGCAGACCGGTTAAAGGAACAGGAACAGGTGTTCTCCAGTTAACTGCTTCAGTCTTTGGCCAACACCAAATTAATGCCTTAGGCTCAAATATGTTAAGTGTAACTTGTGTCTTGAAGTTGCAGCTGCTTCTGCTGCTTACTGCCCCTCTGCCTGAGTCTGTATTTTGAAGGAAAGGAAATTGAGTCAGAAAAAAATGTTTTTTTTTTTTTAATTCAGAGAACTAATCGTAAAATTTCAGATGTTGTAGTCAAATTTGGACCATTTTGTGTTAGAGCTTAAGCACGCACTTAGTTCACGTGGTCCACGGGCTATGTTAATATGTGACTATTACAGTTAGCTCTTCCAGTATGATTCTTCGACCTTTCACACAAAAGTCAGGTTTTCGTTTAAGCCATTATTTCAGAATGACGAACTGCCGTTCCAGAACATTTTTAATGTGGGCTTTGAGCGTGTTTCATGAACAGAGGTTTAAAGCTTAACTGTGTATGTGATGTCTTTATTTTCTCAAGGGTGGAGAGATTCAGCCAGTTAGTGTGAAAGTTGGAGATAAAGTTCTTCTCCCAGAATATGGAGGCACCAAAGTAGTTCTAGATGACAAGGTGAGTAAATTTAATAATTCCAAAATAAGAATTAAGTCTTTGTTAAGAGCTGTTTTAACTAATATTCTCTCTACTTGCAGGATTATTTTCTATTTAGAGATGGTGACATTCTTGGAAAATACGTAGATTGAAATCTGTTGAGATGGCATCACATGAAGCTGCCCATTCCAGTGACGTTCTGAAATCTTTCATCATGTAAATAATTTCCGTGTCTTCTTTTATAATAAACTAATGCTGTCTAATGACGCCCATTGTCTCAAAACTTTAGTTCCACGATTCCGGTGTAAACATTTCCAAATAAAATATACAAACAAATGGCTGTTTAGTAATTTAAGGTGGTTTTTAAATTTTCTACTTTCTCTTTAAATCAGATAATCAGATTTCTGGGAAGTAAGACAGGTGTGTTTTCTTCAAATTGAATTATCTTAAAGTACTTGGCGTTGATAAAAAGCTACAAATTCATGCATTTTGAGAAAGGTATGTACATTCTGACTTAAAATGTAACATACTTCCTGAACATTTCCAGAGAAGTTAGATTGTGATGATTGTATAATTAAAGAAAAATCCAAATCTGAGTTCCTCTATTTTCCAAGATAGATGCATTGATAGTAATAGCTAACTTCAGGATCAGGCCCAGCCTAGTGCTAAAGGCCTCACCGTACATGAGCCAGGAACCCATGTGGGCGCCACTTATGATTCTTGCTGCTCCACTTCCCACCCAGCTCCCTGTCTGTGGCACTGGAGGATGGCATTGTGCTTTGGGACCCTGCACCTGTGTGCGAGCCCTGGGAGATGCTCTAGGCTCCTGGCCACTTAAGGAATGGACCACCAGACAGGATGTTGATCACGGTCATATTTCAACCTGCAGGATTCCATATTAGAGATCCTGGGTTAGGGTTTCCCTCCAGGTTCCTGTTAATTTGTACATGGGGAAGCAGCTGGTTATGGTTCAAGTGGTTAGGTTCATAGGTCCTGGAAGATTGATTTGAAAGAGTTAAAACCTATTCCCTGTGCCGATTCACTCCACAAATCACCAAATCTGGCCTGGTCTGAAGCTAGGATCCAGAAGCTCCTAGGTGTCCCACTTTGGTGTCAGGGCCAAAGGACTCTTCAGGTTTTCCTGGCTCATTATCAGGGAGCTGGGTCAGCTGGGATATTAGCTAGTGCTACAGGAAATGGCTTAGCTTGGTAGGCCATGACACAAACTCTGGAAGATTGAACATTTTAACAGTTTCATAGAGTTGGCTATCTACTTGCTATTTCTCTTACTGATTTGCTCAAATTTGACAGTATCTTTTTTTTTTTTAAAGATTTATTTTTATTATTTTTTCATTGGAAAGGCGGATATACAGAGAGGAGAGACAGAGAGGAAGATCTTCCGTCCGATGATTCACTCCCCAAGTGAGCTCAACGGGCCAATACTATGCCAATCCGAAGCCAGGAGCCTCTTCCTCTGGGTCTCCCACGCGGTTGCAGGTTCCCAAAGCTTTGGGCTGTCCTCGACTGCTTTCCCAGGCCACAGGCAGGGAGCTGGAAGGGAAGCGGGGCTGCCGGGATTAGAACCAGCGCCCATATGGGATCCCGGGCGTGCTAGGCGAGGACCTTAACCACTTGCGCCACCGCGCCGGGCCCCTATCTTTTTTTTTTTTTTTTTTTGACAGTATCTTTTCTAGTTAAAAATTTCTAAGAGATTTTGTGTGCAATACTTCTGAATGGCACTGAAGTCTTTTTTTGTTTTCAAGATTAAAAAATTTTTATTGGAAAGTCAAATATACATAGAGGACACAGGAAGGTCTTCCTTCCAATGATTAACTCCCCAAGTGACCACAATGGCTGGTGCTGCGCCAATCCGAAGCCAGGAGCCGGGAACCTCCAGGTCTCCCACGCAGTTGCAGGGTCCCAAGGCTTTGGACTGTCCTAGACTGCTTTCCCAGGCCACAAGCAGGGAGCTGGATGGGAAGTGGGGCTGCCGGGATTAGAACAGGCGCCTATATGGGATTCAGGGCGAAGACTTTAGCCACTAGGCCACGCCGCCAAGTGCTAAAATCTTAGAATTATTTTACAGGAAGAGCAGATTCACAGAGGAGACAAATCTTTCATCTGTTGGTTCACTTCCTGAGCAACCTGTTGCTGCTGCCAAGCCAATCCAGAGCCAGGAACTTCTTCCAGGTTGTCTATGCGTGTGGGTGTGGGTTCTCAAGACTTTCGGCCATCCTCGACTGCTTTCCCAGGCCACAAGCAGGGAGCTGGATGGGAAGCAGAACAGCTGGGATACAAATGTGTCAACATGGGATCCTGGTGCATGAAAGGCAAGAATTTAGTCACTGAGTGATCGCACTGGGCCTGGCATTGAAGTCTTAAGGAAGTTATAAATGGCCTTGTAATATGTGTTGTGTTTCTCATCAGCAAAATAGTATATAGTTCTAATATGTAATTTACATGTATATTCTTTGTTACACTGAGGGTTAATTTTTGGCAAATTTTGATACTATAATTAGGCCTGTATTCATGTTTATTGTTAATTTCAGAAATTGCCAATGACACAAGTAAATGCATCATAACTAAGTACAAGTTACCTTGGTTTACAGAGGCAGTTGAGATTTTCATCTTAGCAAGCTTGTTCAAGGCCAAGACTTGTAACTTGCCAAACTGAAATTCAGTCCAAAGGCCATGACTTTGCTATTATTGTCCGATGCTGTTTCCTCAAGACCCCAGTAAGTGAGTTTTAAGATCCAAACTGACAGTAACCATGTTGCATTGATCTCTGGAGTCATGAGGGCATACTCCAAATTTGAGGGCCCTGTTTCAAAACTAAGCTGCAGGATGCGAATGTTTACCTACCAGAAGTGCTAAAGAACTTCAGATGGTGAAAGTATATTAATAGGGAAGAGATGTTTTTCAAAATTTAGGACATTGGGAATGTTAAAACAGCAAATTATGTG